CCAATATTCAAACACCGGAAAAACATCAGTGAACATAATTGGATAGGCTTCAAATAATGTAACATCCAGATCTCCTAGCATGGTTAACAGAATCACATGTGGAAATTGCCAATTAGGACTCAATTTGCTGTCAAAACCTGCTATTTTTTTTGGAATACGACTCACAGAATTTGTACAAAGTGTACTATAAGGCTTTTAATGTTTATTTTATCAGCAAGATTGAGTTCCATGCATGTCAGACAGGGCCGGGAACACACATAACACATGGCAACAGGCTACAAGCCAGACCGATTAGATCATGACCAATTTTCTCCTGCATTTTCCTGTCCCAGTTCTGGGAATGTGGACTTTAACCTTCAACTCCTCGTGTCCATGTCTCTCCTGCTCTTGCTTTTGGCTTGAGGTAAGTACATCCCTTCTAATCTATTGCATCTCTATGACGATTAAGTTTAATTCCCATAAAAGAATTTACAATAACTTCCCCCACTTCCCAGTTTCATTACTGATTTTTCTCATGATTCAGAATTTAGTAAAACATACAAACTTCCCAGAAAATATACTGTCGGGAAACTCTTCCACTAATCTCAAGGGCTTGCAGGAAGAGAGTCTAGTCTACCTTAATTATTGCTATGCCCCTGCACTGAGTGTATGACAGTAATTGCATTACAGCTACTCAAATATTTATTGTAAGATTGAGTAAATAAATGAATTTCTCCCTATTTACTTAAATTGGAAATAATTCTGCTCCCTGCTACAGTTCTTGTTTTATTACAACAGAGTGCTTTCTTATGTATCTATTTAGGAGTTATATTCTGTGCTTCCTTAATGAGCTTGTGAACAAACTGTGGGTTCCAGCCCTGCTGTTCACCCACATATTCTCCTGGCACCTAAAAGAATACTCCACACCAAGTAACATACATAGATTCCACAACTCTGAAGTCAACCAAGGATTGGAAACACTGTATTGAAAAAGTAAATAACAATACAACAAAAAATTCAAAAAAAAAACTATATAGTATAACAACCATTTGTAAATGCTCTAACAATAGTGTTTACCTTGTATTAGGTGTTCTAAGTAATCTATAGATGATTTCAAGCCCCGGAGTATAAAAGTAGGCGATATGTGAATACCACACCATTTTACTTAAGGAACTTGAGCATCCTCAGATTTAGGTATTTTCAGAGGTCCTGGAATCAATCCCTTGGGGACCCCAAGGAATGACTGTATTCACTATTTGTTGATTACACAATTAATTAAGTGAATCCTATCAGCACATTTATACTTAATCATATCAGCATATTTAAATTAAACCCCACCCCACAAATTTAAATTTTCCACCGTCCCTGAGATAACTTACCCCCATTTTTGCTCTTCCTTAACCAAGGGGGAGCTACTTACCAGTAACGTCCTCTGCCACCACACCAAGGTCTTTCTTTTTTAAATAATTCACTACTCTATCATTCTTGAAAGGACATCTTTCCTTCCATTTCTCCGTCCTCCCCCTTAGAAACCTGAATTGAAAGTGTAAGTAAATCAAAGTCTCTCCATTCTACGTCATGGTGTAAATGGTGTGCGGGGCAGATTCCTTTCCCTCCCCTTTAAACGTAGCTCATGTTCTTGTGACTATGAATACCTTCCCTGATATCTTCCTGTAAATAAATGTCCAGGCCTCGAGACTCCCTCAGCCCTTTAATTATGCTACTGTGGATTTTTTTTTTTTTAATGAGTACGAAAGCTTGTTGAAACCTTCCCTTAAAGGTGATTTTTTAAATAGATTTTTATTTTTTCTTAGAATCCAATCTAAACTCTACCTGTTATCCTCATACTGTCCAAATTGCCTTGTTTCATGCATTCCTCTGCAACCACTGAATCACACTGTTACTGCCCTACTCGTGTGTTCTTCCCTGTGATAACTGTCCCCAAGACACTCGAAGAACAGTTTTCTATCTGTACTTAAAGAATGACTTGTCAGAAATATAGTACCGTCTGTGGTCTCAGATTAAAACATTCCCCTGGCCCAGTATCACTGATTCTACAGGACTAGGAATAGTAGTCCCTGATTATTTTTCTTTCATGCTGTGTCCAAAAAGACTACGAAAAACGTAAGTAGCTCTCTCATCTTTTTAAGTTCATAGCTAAAATTTTTCATCATAACTTTAAATACCTGAAAGGCTCTAACTTTCCACACGCACTGTAAATACTGACATTTTCAATAAGGTTATAACATGACTGTTTTAAATGTTTGGTAACGTGAAGCTCACCACCTTCCATGTACACAAATACAGTGTAACAACTTACAAACTAAATCAAAAGGCTACTATTTAGTTAGAGATTTCAAGTTCCTAAGGAGGAGGACAGGGGAGTGTAAAAAGAGATATACTTTCTAAAAGATATGGTGATTTTTTTTTTAAAGAACTTGATAGGTGGGAGAGGGAGTTAATGGGAAGTGTCTCCCCTTTGTTAAAAGCACAAAAATAATAACAAAAATTATTATCCTTTGAATGTTACACATTTTATACCCTTCATCTCTAAATTCAGACTTCCATTCTATTTTCCTCTCAGCATGTTTCTTAATATATTACATAGTTATGCTTCAAAATATTCTATCATACATCTTCCTGTAGTAAAAATACATATGCGATTAAATTGATTGGTTAAATTTCTTGAGACCATAAGCCTCTAAGTGTTAAATTGTTAATTCTGTATTGCAATTCCAGTTAATTCACAATTGTTCTATATACCATAAATGAAATAGAAAAAAATAATTATCATTAACTATAAAAATTCACCTTTTAATAAAAGAGGTGTGGCAGGGTTTTTTTCAGTAAGTTCGGTTATCTGTGGCCGAATCTGACTTTTTGTTGGGTGATAGTTCTATTCCTAGCTTTCATCTTTACAGGTTGTTCACATGCAAGGGTGGGGAACCTGCTGTCTCAAGGCCACACGTGGCCACTCGACTCAATCCAGACTGCACAGAACAAGTCCTTTATCAAAAGGATTTATTCTGTGAAACAGCCAAAAGGCCTAAGGACCTGGAAGGCCAAAGGTTCCCCATCCAAGTTTGAGCTTCAAAGTAACTAGCAAACATCACATCATGATCTATCCCCTTGCACAAGGTTTAATGCTCTACCAGCTGACAAGTCAATCAAGCACTCCTTTAATATGGTCAAAAGTAAAGAATGTAAAACACTCATCATTAGAGTTGTATGTTGTTAGAGTCATAAACTTCCACAGTTCCTTAGAAGCACAGCCAAAAGGCTTCACCCCAAGACTTACCAAGGGACTGTCACTTATACCTCATGCACTGCCACTTCAAGGCACCTTGTTCAGTCCAAAATACTCAGCAAGAGTTGGGAAAATTCCATTTAACAATGGAATTGTTTTATGAAGCAATTTTTCTCCTGCTTGTACATCACTCTTAAATCTAAATACATGTTTGTCAACACTTACACAAGGTACAGAATTCTAGGAATGGAAAATGTCATACAGCCCAACTGGCAAACCACTCCTCTCATCATCAACCCAGTAAGTCACATCAAACGTCTGTGTCGGTTCAAATAAACACTGTATGACGTATCCCCAGGACAACTATCTCCCTTCTGAAGTGAGAACAGCAGCACAAGCCACCACACCCCAATTCTACTGCCATGTTGCCTTCCCCACAGAAACGTGCCCATGACAGGAAAAGATACGAAGCCCCACTCTGGGTTGACGACGCCTTCACTGAGGGACGCCTTGCTGACCCCAACATGTCACACTGTTCCTCTGTAAGGCGCCTCGGAGGTCTGTACACCCAACGCCCAGGAAGCTTCTGATACATGGGAGGTGTCAGTTCTTTTCATGAAAATGAGGGAAGAGCAACTGAGAAATGGAAAAGGAGACAGAGAAGCCAGGGGACACCTTTACCGCAGGCGACCTCAGCCCAGCAACTTCAGGAAAGTATCCAGAGAGACGCGAGCTAGAGCCCTAGGACAGATTCTTTTAAAACTGTGGTGCCTGTTGTACCCCTTTGACAGTCCTGTTCTACCCCTAGCAACACACACAAAATGAACCAGCTATGCTCACTAAGACGTGGAACAAGAAAGTCTAAAAAGGCCATGTCACCCACTGGATTGATAAGTAAACATTTTAAAGAGGGCCACAGATCCAAACTACCAATAGTTTCTAAATAAGTTTCTTGTCACCCACTAAGTAAGTAGACTTATTATACAACTTGGGAAACAAGGTGTCAGGCTCCTAAGTCTGAAGAATCTCAGTCTAACTTTTCATGGTCCTCTCCCAGCAGTGAAAGTTCTGTCCCACAGACATTATAAACGTAAAGCAGAGGAAGAAAAGGTACAATAAAAACGGAGAAAAAGAATGATGACTCAGCATGCCTCGTATCTCAAAACAGTCCTTGCTGGTTCATATATTAGAACTTAATTGACTTAATTTTTTTGCAAATGAAAAACTATAGCCATTCATTACCACCTATAATAATAATAATAGCAATTATTTAGAAAAGTGTTTAATGAGGTGCCTGTAGCTCAGTGGTTAGGACGCCGGCCACATGCTCCAGCGCCCTAACCAGGGCTGGTGGGTTCAAACCCAGCCAGGCCTGCTAAACAAAAACAAAAACAAACAAACAAAAATAGCCAGGCATTGTGGCAGACACCTATAGTCCCAGCTACTTGGACGCTGAGGCAAGAGAATCACTTGAGCCCAAGAGTTGGAGGTTGCTGTGAGCTATGACACCACAGCCCTCTACAGAGGGTGACAAAGTGAAACTTTGTCTCAAAAAAAGAAAACAGAAAAGTGGTTAAATCCAGGAGGTACAATAAAGCCAATCCAAAGATTCTAAAAGAAAAGTTGTTAAAGAGAATGATTTATATATAACGATTAACAATGTTGTAGAACTTGGAATTCACATGATTCTGAAAGGAAAAAAGAAAAAGACAACCAGTTTAACACACCCACATCTATGTAGGCTGGTTCTCTCACTGAGTTCGAGTCTACTCACCGCCTCAGTGTGAACAGGGTGCACAGCAAAAAGTAACGCCGCGACAAGAGCCAGGCCGCGGTTCCTGAAGACGGTCTTATCACAGGTGTACATGAGCACGAGGCTGACCAGGCAGTGCAGAATCACATTCACCGCATGGAAGTAGAATGGGTCCGTGCCAGTCAAAAATATATTCAGCCTGTAAAAACAAACAAAAAAGAAAGAAAAGCAAAAGCTGCATTAGCTGCCAACACAGCATAGGCACAGGGGAAGCCGTGGGAATCTACCATTTTAACAAGCTAAGCTATCAATTAATTATTTGTTTTTTCTTTTTGCAATTTTTGGCCGGAGCCGGGTCTGAACCCTCCACCTCTGGTATATGGGGCCAGCACCCTGCCCCTTTGAGCCACAGGCGCCACCCAATCCAATTAATTATTTTTACATGATTCCCAACTTCAGGTCATTTTTTATATTTGAGTATATGTCACTTTGTGCTATCTCAGAATTGTCCCATCTGCAGAAATCAGTGCATGCACGATACAATATTTTTTCAGAAAACTTTGTTCTCACAGAGAAGGCAAGTACACAGGTGCTCCATCTGTTTTCCTCTCACTGGGCAGCTAATTCAAACACCCTCCAACACACACACACACACACACACACACACACACACGATATTCCTGCTTTCACCTCCAGCTCTTCCTAAGCAGCTGAGTGTTCAAAGGCAAGTCAGATGTACTACAGGTCAGAGCCACAGCCAGCGGAGATGATCAGAAACCATGAGACTGTGATTGTAGTCACAGTTGGAACAAACCAGGCATGAACATGTTCTTTCACCCATGCTGCCACCAGAAACCAAGTTTCCAGATTATGCATCTGGGAGCATCATCTCATTACCAGCCCACCAGGGGATCTTCAGAGCACCTACGTGCTTATCACTAGCTGCAGCTGAAATAAAAAAAGATGAGCCAAAGCATAATGTTTCAGATTTTGTATCAAATGTTTTGTAGCATAAATTGCCACAGATCTTAGAACCTGATTTCTAAGACTCTGGCAAAGAAACTAAAAGAACCACAAAGAGAAGGGAAATCAATTGTTCAACATCTTACAAAATATTTTCATGAGACAGAAATACACATCAGTGAGACTTCTGGAGGTTGCCTTAAATTCAGCAACAGGACATTATGTCCCTAACTGAGTCTGCACGGGTTAGAGAAAAAACATACTTGTGCAAGGTCTGGTTGTTTGGGGGAACATATATGGCCAATAGTGGTCTACACTCCAGTCCCTTTTACCAAAACAGCAATCCCAGCTCTTTATTCTCTCGCCCTTGGTCTGCTTCTCTTTTAGAAACAATTCCTCTTTGCCAAAACAAATAAGAACAGAAAAGCCAACTTTAGAGATGACATATGCATATCCCGAAGAATTGACGCAATGCAAGCATAACCTACAGAACTTTAAACATCTCAAGCATGAATCCAAATGTCACTGTTATTAGGAGGTTCCATTTCCACTCCCACTGAAGTCATCACAGGCCTACCTATGCCTAGAAAAATGAATTGTTGTGTCAGATCCAACTTCAAGGCTCTGATGCAGGATTTGCCCCAGCTGTGTGTCTATGCTCACCTCGAAGCTCACCTCAGCGTCCTCAATACAGCAGCCTGGTGGGAAATCACCCTTCCAGAGGGAATTAAGAAAGGAACAACAAAGAGGGGAACTGGCAGGTGCAACTAGATGTTTACATTCTTGTGTAAGAGGCCCCACGTGGTAACAGAGCTGCTGAACTCAGAAAGCTCTGGATGGCAGAGCTGTTAAGAAGGGCAAGACCAAATCCTGACCCTGGATCCTTGGAGAATTTGCATGCAGCTCCCCAAGAGCCCAGCCCCCTGAGGCTAGTTGTACATGTTTTCCACTTCATCAAGCTGAGGCTTCCAGACCAACAAGCCACTCATTTAAAATTCACTCACAGCAGCGAGGATGATGAAAGAAAACAGGCGATCTCACAACTGATGGGTGGGTGTCCAAGCTGGAGGGTCTCTAGGCTGATAAAACATGTATATAACATACAACATATAACATATAACAAAGGCTTTAAAAGGTACATTGCTTTTGACCAAAAATTCCACATCTAGGATTTTTCATAAGGAAATAACCACAAAAATGTACAAAGGTTTTATATATAGATATACAAGAATGCATTTCACGGTGTTAATCATTAAACTGTCAATAGAATGACATTTAATAGGCCTTAAATGTCTTTCTACTGACAATTTAATAAGCCAAATCCTTGATGTACTGGACTACTTCCACGGATACTGATATTTAGGTCATAAATTTGGATAAATAATCGCATCATTTTTAAAAAGAAACAAAATA